TTTAAACCAGTATTTTCATCTCTAATAGTTCATTATGTAAAGTATTAAATACTTTGCAGACAAAACTAGTAGAAAAGACAATTATGGCAGAAGAACTATAATATTTAATTAAATTCTAACCGTCGAAAAACGAAATACAAATAATATGACGAAAAAACCTTAAAAAACATTAATTAATGTAAGTTGTTTCTAATATAACTTAATTCAATGTACAAAGAATATCATTAATAATAACATACTTATGCAAACACATCATACAATAACTCAAACAATAACTGTTCTGGTCTGGGCTCCAGCTTGGCCAGGCAGGCTCAGCCTAATAATATCACGCCAAGCCCAGTCCAGCTTGAGCCGCGACCCCCGAGCACAAGGTCCTCGGCGGGCAAGTAACGCCCCTCCACGGGCAGGTAACGGCGTCGGCCAGACACTGCCCTCTCCGCGGGCAGAACCCGCTCCCTTGTCGGGCAAGACAACGTGTCCTTCACGCATTCTCCACGTGCTCCCCTCCGCGGGGACACGTCACCGGCCAACTGCCCATCTCCGAAAGAGCAAGTCAAACCCACTTTTCGGAGATCATGGGACAGTTGGACTAGGGCGGAGACCACGTCCTGGTCTCCACTACGCCACGTAAGCCCTAGCAGTCATCTGGGTTGGGCCTGACAATCCAGCCTAACACAAGTGACCGTTGGCCCAACACTGGGGTCTCTCCATAAATACCCTCTTCCACAAGAGGGTCAGGTAATTCGCTTCTTACCCCTTTTCTGTATTTGCTTTCACTCTGCCCAATTCCTTACTTTGGCATCGGAGTGTCTTGCAGGTACACCCCCCTTTTTTCCCTTTCAAATAACGACGAACAGGCATCAAAGTCGAAGACGCGTGGCAGCCAACGATCCCTTTCTGATCAGGTCAGATCAATAACATTTATCAATAAAATACAACAACTCACCTTAACAAAACAACAATATACCTCAGCAAAACATCAACACGCTTCAACAAAAGCATCTAAAATAATACAAACAACAACATTTATCAACAAAAACATAAACTTAACCTAACTAAACAACAACAACATACATCAACATATCTCAACAAAAACATCTAAAACAACATAAACAACAACATTTATCAATAATAACATAAACTTACCCTAACAAAACAACAACATTTCTCAACAAAAACCTCAACATACCTAATAAAAACATCTACAGTAACACAAATAAAAATATTTATCAACAAAACAACAACACACCTAAAAAATAACTTAAACGCTTTAGTTATCTCAACAAAAACAACAATATAAAACTTATAATCTCATCTTAACAAAAAAAACCCTATGTTGGACAAATGTTTAGAACAAGAAAAACGTTTCACGTATATTTTTGAACAACAACAACATCATAACTCATAAAATGTATGGTGAAAAAGGTTTCACAAATGTATCTTTCCTTGAAAAAATTCATGAAAAATGAACCAAAGAAATGAGTTACTTGTTTCTTCTTGCAATGATTTGTGACACCTTTCCATGACTCATAATAGTTGTAGAAGTTATGTTGGATTTTTGTAAATAAATGATCAAGTTTTGAGAGATTGGGAGAGGGCAAGAAAAGTTAACGCTTCACTATTAGCTCAATCTATTCTAATGTGAATAAAGTTAGTTTATATAGGTAAAATATTTCACCACGGTTGATACGAAAGACCGTGGTGAAATGTTCTGATATTTCACTATGGTTTTTAATCAGGAACATGGTCAAAAGTATATAATTTTTATTTAAAAATATAAATTAAGGAAACACACCCTTTTTATAACGAAAAAAACTTAAAATTGTTGGTGTTAGAATTCGAAGCGTGTCACTCCTTCACATATCACAACGGTTGTTTATTTGAACCGTGGTGAAAAATGATTTTAAAAAATGAAAGACGCCTAATGTATATATATATATATATATATATATATATATATATATATATATATATATATATATATATATATATATATATATATATATATATATATATATATATATATATATATATATATATATATATATATATATATATATATATATATATATATATATATATATATATATATATATATATATATATATATATATATATATATATATATATATATATATATATATATATATATATATATATATATATATATATATATATATATATATATATATATATATATATATATATTACTTCTATTGGATAAAGGGTCATAGTAAGAAATCGTTACGAAATGTGCTTTTTGTAGTAGAGTAAGCTTGTTAATAATACATAGTGATTGAATGTAAAAACATAGAGTAAGTTGAATAAAATATTTTCTCTATTTTGTAAGTTGGATATAATATTTTGTCTATTTCTCTCTATTTTCAAAAGTATTTTATAATGGTTTTGAAGAGATCGAATGTATGTCTAGAATCATAATTGTTATATCGATTATGTGATTTCTCCCATTATCTATTCCTTTTTCCTTGCTCATGTATCT